GTGTCACTGTGGGGGTGGGCTTTGAGGTCATCTATGCTCAAGATACTGCCCAATGTGACAGTCCACTTCCTGTTGCCTTCTGATCAAGATGTAGCTAGCACCATGTCTGCCTCTGCCATGCTCCCTGCCATGATGATGATGGACTGAACCTCTGAAACTGTAAATGAGCTTCCCCGATGAAATGTTTTCCTTATAAGAGTTGCCATGGTCATGGTGACTCTTCACAGCAATAGAAACCCTAACTAAGACACTTACTTCCCTTATTGCCTTGAGATCTGTTCCCTCACTGACTCTGAAGCTCCCATTTCAGCTAGGCAGGTTGGCTTGAGAGCTCCTGGGATCTACCCATCCTGTCACACACACACACACACACACACACACACACACACACACACACTCACACACATACACACACACACACACACACACACACACACACACACACACACACACACAAAACCCCTCCTCAGAGTCAGGGACACAAACATGTAGGACTGTTTTGCCTGCCTATATGTCTGTGTAACGCATGCATGCCTTGTGCCCTTGGAGGTCAAAAGAGGGGGTCAAATCTCCTGGAACGGGAGTGACAATGGTTGTGAGCCACTATGTGGGTGCTGGGACCAAAACTGTGGCCTCTGTGAGAGCACAGGTGCTTTTAACTACTGAGCTATCTCTCCAACCCCCAAACCTTTTGTGTGGTTGCTGGGGATTCAAACTAGGTCCTCACGCTGGAGAGCAAGTGCCCTTACCCTCTGAGCCATCTCTGAGCCAACACACCTTCCCTTTTTATGTGGCTGTGCGATGTGTTGGAACTTACAGCAGAGGGCAGAGAACCTCCGCTATCATTCTCAGTAATGCTGCCCACTTCATTTGAGACAGTGTCTCATTGACTTGGAGGCTCGCCACTTAGGTCTCACTGAGCCCCGGGCTCTTCCCGCCACCACTTCCCCAGGGCTCATATAGACTAGCCACCACGCCTGGCTTTTTAAATGTGGGTTCTGGGGACCTAGCTCAGGTTCTCTGTACTGACAGAGCTACCTCCCTAGACTCAACTTTAACACAGTTTTGGGGGGCATAATTGACCTAAGAAATCTCAATGGCCTTAGAACCAAAGAGGGCTAGATGCTGTGACATCTTTCCAGCTTTTGTCACTTGTGAGGGTCATTTGTAAAAACTCTCCTTAAAAAATGTTGACAATCCCCAAATAATACACATCTTATACACACACACACACACACACACACACACACACACACACACACCCTAAAAACAGCTTTGACCTTGAAAACTTTAACAAAGCTATCCCTCAGCTAGGTCTCTGGAATCAGGCCTTTCAACTTCAATTTCCACCCTTTCCCTATCATTTCATCCATGGAGATGTTATCCAAAAGAAGCAAGAAAATGACTTGTATCCTTGTGCCAGAAACCATGAGTGACCCATGAAATACGGACTGCAATGTAAGTTATTTTAAAAACCAGGAGGTCAAGTTCATCTCTGCAGAAGATCATGTTCCCTGTTACCAGCAAAGACGTTCAAGGTGTGATTTGCTTCTTAGCATCAGAATGGACATTAGGCAAGATGCCAACTCGGATGTGCAGAGTCAGGGTCAGGTTTTGATGGCACCCAGTGCCTCCATCCTTTCTGGAAGAGAGTGACCCATAGGCCTCAGGAGGCAAATGAGGCTGTGCACAGGAAGGGAAGCCCAAGGCACAGAAGCACTGACGGGAAAGTCAATATATTATTCAAGAGAAACATCTAGTCCAGAAAACATGCTTGTGAGTGGAAGGCCTGCAGTGTGGAAGACAGAAAGGCCTTCCTCCATCTCCAACCCTGGGGAACCCTTCACAGCCCACTGGACTCAGCAGGCTGAAGGTGACCTTGCAAAGGGCCACTGCCAATACAGGACCCACAAAGAGCCCCATTATCTGTCCCAATACAAGGCTGTCATCTTCCAAATACATTTCAAGGAACCACACACTCACCCCCTATATGACCGACAGACAACAGCCACTTCAAAGTTATTCCCATGCACACAAAGGCAGGCAGATTGAACTGCCTCTTTGGAACACTGTTCTACCCACCTGTAGAAAATCAAGGCTGGAGAAAGTCTGAGGTCATCAGAAGGCACTGCAGCCTCTTCAGGAACATACATTAGCCAGCGTTTTCCCTGGGAAGAAGGCAGTGGGCTCCAGAGCCCCAGGCTGAGCCCAGCCCTCAGAGAAATTTCTTTGTTTCTCACCCGTCCGTGACCCTACCTTGTTTCGCTTTGGTTTTTAACGTTCAAATCCAGGAAGTTGAGGTCTCAGAGCTCAGCCTCACATCAGACCCCCCAAAAGGAAAGAATGCCCACCATTGTTATGGAATCATCTCAAATGAGAAACAGCTGCCTTGTCTCTTGCCTAACGTCTCGAATCACATGCACATGGAAGATAAGGCAAGCATGAACAGCTACGGAAACAGTCTCCCCAGCCTCTCAGAGAACCTACAGGTGTGCTGTGTGCAGGGTGAGGGGGCACCTTGTAGGTGCCAGGTACCTGGATGACAGCCAAGAGCTGCACGGTCCTGCCGAGACTTCCCTTATGGGCATAGAATTCTGGGCAGCATGCACCTTCAGACACACTGGCTTTCCTTCAGCAAGCTGGGACAAAGGAGCCTGTTGAAAGTACTTTTCCCAGAGGGCAGCGACAACATGTGCCTTACAAAGGGGAAGTTCATAGTTGGGCATGGTGGTGCATGCCTATAATCCCAACCCCACTGCCCCAGAGGGGGAGACAGGAGGATTGTGAATATAAGGCTAGCCTGAGCTACATAGTGTATTTCAGGGCAGTCATAGCTACATACCCAAACCTTGTTTCTAAAGAGCTGCCAGGGAGATGGCTCAGTCAGTGTTTGCTGTGAGCATGGACCTCAGTTTGGATCCCTAGCACCCATCAAAAAGCCAGACATGGAGCTGCTCTGGAGAAATGCTTCAGTGGTTAAGAGCACTTGCTGCACTTGTGGGGGACTTGGACTCTGTTCCCTCCACCCACATCCGGTGGCTCACAACCACCTGTAACCCTAGTTACATATAGGCACATACACACATACAGTACATACATATGCAACCACTCACACAGACACAGAAAGTAAAAATTATAAATACATTTCTTTTTAAAAGCTAGGCTCAACGGCACACACCTAGAATGCCAGTACCTGTGAGGTAGGCAGGAAGCTCCCTGAAGCTCTCTGGCCAGCAGTCTAGCTGAATCAGTGGGGCTGTTGGTTCTGTGAGTGATGCCATCCCAAAAATTAAGGTGGAGAGCCACAGAGGAAGACACCTGACGTAATCTCCACAAGCATGCACACACATGCACACACATGCAGACACAAAGAAATAAAGGCAGCAGTCTGTGAGACAGCCAACATCGGGCCAGAGCACAGGGCTCAAAGCAGGGATGCTCACTTAGGCCAATCTTACAAAATCAATCAATCTTGCTCGAGTTCAAATGGTCTTGAATCTGATGCCAAAAGGCACAGCCCCTTATTTCACTAGTGGGCTAAAGCTCCGTGGGAACATTGTCAGCAGGCAAGGTATCTATGGGTTTCCTGTGAAGAAGTATCTGGTTCTGCTTCACAGGGTACCAGCCCAGAGGCATGCAACACCAGATATGGGGAACTTGTCCCCTACATAAGGGTATCTGTAAGATGTAAGCACCGAGCCAAGCGTGAAAGCCTGTCTGTGGCTCTCTTTGGTTGTTCGACTTCTAGGGAGCTCCCTGCAGGCTGCTTGCAGTGGTCTTGAACACAGCCTCTAAGTTCCGCCCTCTGGTCCCAAAGCAGGATTGCTGATAAGAAAACCATCCTTATTCTTTCAGCCCTTTACCCCCGTGACTTCCTTTCTACACCCGGTATCTTAAGTCTCGATTGAGAAATAACTGCCAACCTAAGACCTCTTTTCTCTGCTTGAAAGCAAAGCCAGTTGCGATCTTGACATATCAACCAGATAAATTCAACTTAATGGGGATGTACCGGGACCAAGGACGAGCTGCCAAGAGCAAATATGGGGTTGGCAGTGCTTAAATTACTTAAGAACATCCCATGCCAATGTGAAGTCAGGAGTGGCTGTGCACTGGGGAGGGGATTAAGAATTAAGGATTACAAGAACGGAGCTGAAGCCATGACTTTATCCAAAGTGGAAAATCCTCCTGCCCCCACTTCCCTTTGAAGCTCAGCCATGCATGCCAAACTATTAACCTCTCACTTCCTGGAGGTTATGCCAGGCCACTTGAACCAGAAACCAAGCACAGGCAGTGTGCATCCAAGTTCCAAACAAACACACAGGCCCCCAGGCTCCTGCGCTACCTCTAACTCACCAGTCAGACAAAATGAGGGAACCCTGAGTGGATAGCCTTCACTGTCTCCAATGATGGAGGATTCCCTTTCCACCGAACACACTGATGCCCCAGGTTACCCCTCTTGCATTTGATTGAGGTCATTTCCTCCCCTGAAGACCTGCCCAAGGAACGCCAGTGAAGACCTCATGCCCATTCAGCCAGCAACAGTGAATGTTGTATTCGGTGACACCTAATACTTGCTTGTCAAAACTGTGACCCGAGGTCTGAGGTACCACAAAGCAGCAGAGGCCCATCACCAAAAAACAAACAAACAAAACTTAACCCTTTCTCAATGGCAAACTGCCCCACCCTGCACCCCCAGGTGCTGATACTCAGGTAATGAGGGGCAAGATGAGAGATATGGGACAGCTGAGCAGCCTCATTAGGGAGAGGGAAAAAGCTCCAAGGTCCTTTCACTGCACCCAAGACTTCCTTACTCCATCTACAGAATTAACTAAGCCACAATCAAGCCTCAAGTTAGCCCTGATTGAGCCTACTCATCTAGGAGCCAGGGGGCGAAAAATGGGTCAGAACCAGACTTTCACAGATTCTATCGAGAATATTTTTATTATACAGGTATCATACACACAATTATTTAGGGAGCACTTACAGGCATAGGAGTTCAATTGCAATCCACACTTCACCCACACAAACTCTACTCTACTCTTCTGGTTCAGCCCGAAGGAACGAGACACAGTGCTTGATCAGTCCCGATCAGGTTCAGTCTCAATACCCTGTGTGCCTATGCATAAAATCTAGAGGTGCTATGTCATCCATCACCATAAAAGTCAATATTAAAATCGAATCCCATTTCTCAAAAAGTCATAAGAAGTATTTACAGATCCCATTAAATTATGCATAAATAAAATCTGTACACGCAACAGTTTCTCAACAGAGCCTCCTTGGGGACTTGGGGATGACAGGCGCTGCTGTGTGCCTACCCTCTTCAAGTTTACGTGGAAAAAAAATATCAAGATATGAAATAAATATGCAAATAAAGCTTCTATACCTTAAAGGAACAGGTCATTAAAAAAATTCCACTATCTAAAGGATTTTAAACTTTCAACATTTTTTTTAAAAGAGGAAGGAAGCATGAAACAATCAGCAGGCTTTGCTTTCTAAATTCCTTAGAACCAGGAGACCCCCCCCCTTTTCAACATGGGGTTGGAAGCCTGTCACGTACCATGGTGAGGATCTGCTAAGAATATCCGACTTTTGCCTCCTACCAGAAGGTGTGATCACTGAGGGGCAGGGAAAGCTAGATAAATACTAATTTTTTAGATAAATATTTTAGTGACATAAAAGCCAGACATTATCTTAACACAGAAAAAAATAAGTTATGATTGATCCCTTTATCTCCCATCCATCTGCCCCGTCAGCAGCTCAGTGTGGGGTTTCTCATTAGCCCAGGAGGATTTCACAAAGGGATTCCAAAACTTATAGCACCTTTCAGAGAGGGAATGGATTTCAAAAAAATAAATGTTTAATGAGTAAAACAACCAAACCAAATTGCTTCGGGATAGTATGTCCAGGGTTAAATAGAAAAGTCACGCCAGGCGGTGGTGGCACACGCCTCTAATCCCAGCACTCTGGAGGCAGAGGCAGGCGGATCTCTGTGAGTTCAAGGCCAGCCTGGTCTACAAAGCGAGTTCCAGGAAAGGCGCAGTTACACAGAGAAACCCTGTTTCAAAAAAAAAAAATAGAAAAGTCACAAAAACTCCAAGGCAAGTCCAGGGTGAGGTGGATGGCAACTGCTTGCCCCAGGCTGGTGCTTCCCAGGTTGCCCCAGTGAAGGGGGCTTCAGTCCTCTCCCTTTCTGCTCTGGCCTCCATGCACCCCACTTTATTTCCGGTGCTTTTCTATTTTCTCCATCGCCTTGTTGGAATCCGCAGGACTCTGGTCTCCAGGGTTCATATAGGACTTGTCAATGGTAATCAGAGCCTCCTTGATGTAATTCTGCACCGCGGATACCGCGGCGCAGATGGCCTGGCTGCCAAAGCCGTGAGTTATCAGACTGAAATGAGACAAGCAGTTTTGTATGTTGGTCTCCAAGATCGGGGCCGGCCTGTTGTTCCCGTTGGGTGTTCGGTCTTGACCGAGAAGGTCTGTGAATTCTTTGCACACTTGCCTGTGAAGACAGTCAGTTGTTGAGCTATATCTGGGGCTCTTGACAGAATAAGCCCCCCATTCCTATTACAATAAACTTGAAAAGGAGAATGCACTTACTTACTAACTTTCTATTTATTTAGTGTTTGAGACTTCTCAAAAGGTGGAGGCTGGCCTCGGACCCACTAGGGAGCCAAGAATGATCTTGAATTTATATTCTTCCTGCGTCTATCTCCAGCACCGAGATCACAGGCACTCACCTCTATTCTTGATTTACGCAATGCTGGGGATCAAATGGGGGCCTTACCTGCATGCTAGGCAAGCGCTCTGTGAGTGAGACACCCTGGATCATATTAACCTTTGATTGCCACATCCCCACACTTAGCACCGATCACGTGCCAGGGCCTGAATTCCATTTAGTCTCAGCTGCCCCAACAAGAGATAAGTGGATTAGTCCATCCACCTGGCCAAGGTCAAGAGGACCAGACTCAAGTAGTCCAGGCTAGCCTTGGAACTCACTTTGTAGCTGAGGATGACCTTGAACTTTTTGCTTCTCTTGCCTCCACTCCCAAAATGCTGGCATTACAGGCTCACACCAGCTAGCTCCGTTCTTACGTGGTGCCGAGGATGGCAGAGCTTCATGCATACTAGGCAAACCCTACTGAGCTACAAAAATTTTTTAATATATGCAAATGCAATAAACAGGGTGTTGTGAGTGCTGTGAGTCGAGTCAGCAGCCTCCATGCCACCTGGGATGGAGCAATTCACCATGGTTCCCTCTTCTACACTCTACTAGAGGTTGGCATTCCCTTTGGCAGTGGAATTCTGTTTGAGACTGGGGGGTCTGTGCAAGCCAAATACTCACTGTGCTGCCAGCAGCATACTCTTCCTGGTGGCCATCTCATTTCGTCCCCCAAGATGAGGTCTGGTTAAATAGTCAGCCACTGGTTTACTGGGGAACTCAGCCTCACACACATAGGCAAAGTCCCGGGCCAAGTGGACGGCTTCACCTGCAATACCAATGTCCGAGAGGGTTAGGGTTGAGAATGGTTGTGGTCAGTGTAGTCACTTTGTCTTCTAAAGTGACACCAGGTACAGGGCACCCTGAGCTGTCGTTGGGTGCTCACTTTCTCTGCGTTATTCTTTTTTGGGAGGTGGGCAGATTAAGACAGGATTTCTCTGTGTAACCGCCCTGGCTATCCTGGAACTCACAGAGATCCACCTGCCTCTGCCTCCCAAGTGCTGTGATTAAAGGTGTGGGCCACCGCCGCCCGGCCTCTTCGTTACTCTTAGTTCCTCTTAATGGTCCGTGTATGCTACTGCAAGGGTGTGGAGGCCAGAGAACAACTTTTAGGAGTCGCTTCTCTTCTTGTTTTGAGGCAGGGTCTTCTAATGTCCACCGTGCTTCATACTGTGGTAATCTAGAGTCTTTCTTTCAAGACTGGGTCTCTGTAGCCCTGGTTAGCCTATAACTTGCTATGTAGACCAGGCTAGCCTTGAAGTCAAGAGATGTGTCCCCAGTGTTAGGATTAACGGTGTATACCACCACTCCTTAAAAAGAAAAAAAATTCTAGGAAGGTGAAGGCAGGAAGAATTCAGGTTCATTCTACGCTGCACAGTTAGCCTGGGATAAGGGAGACCCAGTCTCCAAGATAATCCAAAAAAGGGGAAGAAGTCAGCATAGCAATATGATAAGCCTGCACACTGCTTTCAGGAACCTAAGGTTCAAGGCCACCCTGGGCTGAAATGAGACTGTCTGAGGTCCAGGGTGGAGGGTGGGGCTTCCTAACTGAAAACAAGTAGAAGCCTCATCCCAGTGGTGGGGGAGTGGGAGTAGAGTAAGGGGGAGAAAAACCATCTTTTCCTCTCCCAGTAAAGGTGACCTGGATTCAGGGCTCAAACCCAGACAACTCTGAGAGCCCAGACTGTGGAGAGGCAGGCCTGAAGAAGTGAGTCAGAATCCAGGAGCCACTGTTGGAACACAGATCTCATTTAAATTTCTCAGCGTGGCTAGTCAAGAAGCCTAGCAAGAGCCTCATTAGAAACCCCTCCCCCCCCCCAACCCCATTCTCCATGCAAGACAGCTGTTCTCAGTCAGGCTTTCCCTCGCTCTCGCTCGCCCTGACCTCCAAAGGCACAGTGGAAAAGGCATGGGGGGGGGGGGGGGACCGACTCTGCCAAGCTCCTTTCAGCACCGCAGTCACACCATGCGGCAAGGGAAATGTTCTGGAGAGCCTCCTTCTTGTGGCCATCCTCAGCCCTAAGCCAGCCAGCACTAGGCCGGGCTGACAGCAGCCCAGGGACCCAGGCGGAGGCACTGGAGTGTTCGGTAACAATGTGCTCCTCACTTTAACTATTTACTTTTCTTTTACGGGCCGGGCCGTATGGCATTCTTGGCTACCTTCCAGGCTGGGGGGAAGGGTCTACATTCAAAACTGGACTGACATGAGCTATGACCCTCAGGAATGGCTTAAGGGCCTCATTTGTGGACGATGGGTTCCATTCCTTAAAAAACAAACAAACAAACAAAAAAACCGTTTTGATGGAAGAGAAGAAACGGTGAATTGAGCCAGTGCCCATTGTATACACTGAGCAGTATCCTGATACTCCAAAGCTAGAAAAACATACCAGAAACAACAATTCTGACTCCCGGAGGGCCTGCCATTGACCGCAGGCACCTTTCAGCTCTCAAAGGCCAGTTCACTTTACCAGTAAAGTTTCGCCCTTCCCTATGATCTCACAGTTACAGGTTCAGAAAAATCAAAATTTTGGTAACATTGACTTTCCGAGTGAAGCCCCCAAACAACATATAAAAGCAGTCCGAGGTGTAAACACCACGTAAAGTGTTGGGATTCACTGCAACGGACACAATCCAAACTGCTTTCATTTCTCTCTGTGTGTGACCCACTCTTAACAGTCATTTTTTTTCTCTCAGACAGTCTTGAAGTCAGTAGAAACGAAAACACAGCCTCACTGACCTTCCACGAGAGACGTGAGCAGAGTGACATGGGCAGCTTTCCGTCTCCCAGCTGGAAGGTTCAACCCAATTTTGTCCAACTTTTCCCGCAGGGACCGGCCTCCATTTTTGGATTTTGCTCTGTGTGAAAAAGAATGTTGGTTGCTCTCAAAGAATAAAAAACAAACCAGACTAACCCGCCTTAAAAAAAAAAAAAATCTCAGAGTGCTGCCACCAGTAGGGGTGCAGAAAAACTTTCACAGTTAGCAGTCCCTAAGAAACTCCCTGGGGAGACAAAACATTAGAAGTCCCCCCACTCCATGCAGCCGCTGTCTCTGAATCCCAACCAAATGATAACCTGTTACTGATTTTAGCACCTTCTGCATTTGGCACTTTCGAAAAGACGACATGCACTAAAACGCTCTCTTTACTCAGATTAGAATTCAGTGTTAAGATATAAAAGTTACATAAATGCTAAAAATACCTCCAGGCCCTCGTACATATGCACCTCCAACTACCCAACCCCCAGGGGGCCCTGAACATGTGTCACCTTCTGAGCACACCTCCCAGGAGCGAGGCATTTAGGCATTCGGGTGGTGACAGTCGCCTCTGTACCTCAGCCACCGTCACTTTGTATTTAGATGTGGAGCTGAGCAGGGACAGTCTTCCAGGCACCGAGCAGAAGACCTCACTGGGGTTCATGACTGCTCCCACCAGGTCCTTCTGGCACGGGAGGCCCAAAGGGTTCTTGGTCATTGAAATGGGTCCTGTAGGGGACAGTAAAAAGGGTCTGTCACTAGAACAGGAGGGGCAGAGACCTTTCAAAACGGCAAACCGAAGCTGAAGTTGGCCTTCAGAAAAGTCCACACACAGAACTACATATTTGCAAGAAGGCTTTTAAAAGCCGTATTCATTCTTCAAAGACTGGAATCTGAAATCATGAGTTAACACCTCGGGAACCTTAATTAGTTGAGATTCCGTGTGTGGAGGAGTTGGGTTTTTTCCTCCCAGTTCCTGGCCATCACGGTAATCTGTTTAATTAAAGCATTTGCTTTCAGAAGACTACTTCCATGCGAAATAAACGGCATCTTCCCCCTCCCCCTCCATCAGTGAACTGAAACCACAGGACTCACTTAGATCAGCCACCAAACCCTTCAGTGCAGCTGACACGGGTTCTGTTTAAGTTTACTCTGAGATGGTAGTTTGTTTTCCACGTCTGTCTTTCTCCCAACCCCATCTTCTCCCAATTTACTAACGTATCAAGACCACAACTACCTATAATCTAGAATGATTCCATTTCCCCTCAAATAGACTGGTACCGTGTCTAACCTAATCAGGAGCCACCCACTCACTGTAATCCGATTTCCCCAATCCCCTCCCTCCTATAAAATCCCCAAAGGCTGTCCTTATTAAGGCAGTATATTAGGAGAAGTTGATAAATAGTGTCAGAATTAAGGGCCTCTCCAGTAGCTAGCTATACAGCAGCGAGAGGGCTCAGCAGTGAAGTGCTCGCCCGAGCCTGACGATGGGAGTACAATCTCCGGAACCCCTAGAGTGGAAAGAGAAAGCCGACTCCTGCAGGTTGGAGGTGGAAATATATATAATATTAAATATATATATATATATATTTCTAAGACAGGGTTTCTCTGTGTAGCCCTGACTGTCCTGGAACTCACTCTGTAGAACAGGCTGGCCGGGAACTCAGAGATCCACCTGCCTCTGCCTCTTGAGTACTGGGATTAAAGGCGTGTGCCACCAACGCCCAGGTGCGGGGGCGGATTTTGACCTTCATACATATCCCCCCCCCCACTCTCACGTAATACACTTTACTTCTAAAGAGTAAAATTGAATCAATTTTTTCAACAGTTAAAAACTGTCATAGACTCAGAAAACTAAGATGCTGTTTGTGTCTCTTATTTCCCCCAAGTTAAATTACAGCCTCCCTCCCGCCTGTTATATCAGCACTGAGGAGGTACATAGTGAAGCATTGTTTCAAAAATACCACCACCACCAAACATCTTTTAAAATTTACAGCTCCTCAGAGTTCTTTTCGTTCGGGTCGGAAAATAATGCCTTTTTACTACAAAGGTAAGTCTTTTGGGGAGTCATCGCCAGGCCCCTCCTCCACTAGACGACCCATGTTGGCCACTTAATACCCCCACTTTGCCAGAAAAGGGGCAACTTCACAGGTTGGGGTCGCACCAACAGTCAATGTTTACCTTTGCGAATGACAGTCTGATCGTGTAGAAGCAGGTGCGGGTCGTCCACATTCTGGGGGAAAATGACAATTTCTGTTAAGTTTTGGGCAAAGTGGAGTGGCTGGAGGGTAAGCGGGAGCGGTAAGGAAGCCTCCCTCCACCCCGACCCCTGCCGCTCCCTTGCACCTCTTCAATGGGGTGAGCCATGTCATGCAGCCCCAGGTTTTCTGCCAGGCCGGCGGCTTCCAGGGCGTGCGCATGAGGCAGCAGCAGGTCAGATCGGCGGTAGGCTTCCCGCCGGGCACTCACCGCACCCCCTTCCAGCCCTGAAATGTGGGGTATCAGGCCAGCAGGGCGGCCGTGGTGCGAGGCCAGGCTAGCGCCCTCCTGGCTCTGTCGACCCGGCCAGGCCTGCTGCTGGCTGCCGGTGGGCGCAGGCTGGTGCAGGGGATTGATGGCTGCAGCGTAAGCCTCTCCCAGGTGCGAGTAGGGGTCCGCGGACTGCGAGTATGCCAGCTGCTGGTACGGCGGCGGGAAGTAGGGGGGCGGCTGATACTCTGCAACCCCGGTGTGCGAGAGAGGAGGCGCGGGGCTGTAGAGGTGTTGTCCGGCAGAAGACAGGTGGGGGATCCGCGGGTTCCCATTGCTGCTCGCGTCGTGGCGATCCTGGGAGAGAAACAGCAGAAACCCGGTTAAGACGAAACCCTGCTACAGCGAACAAGCAAGCCAAGGGAGGAGCACCTGGGCGCTCCACCAGGTTCGCCCCATCCGTCTCGACCCGGCCCTGAGCCCGAGGGCACCCGAGGACAGTGCGCCCCAGGGACTTCGTTGTGAACCACCAGTCTAAGAACTGTGGGAACGAGTCCTTCGGGCATGCTGAAGGAAGGCTCGAGCGCTGCGCTGCAGGCGGCGCTCGGAGGTGCCAAGTGCGAGCTCTAGGCCACCCTGGGGCAGAGGCCGTGGCTGTGGCGGTAACCCGCGCCTGAGGAGGTCGGCGAGCGGCAAACTCGGCGCAAAGTGCACTCGCTCACCGGCCGTCCCATGTCGCAGCGGCGCGCCGAAAGCGGCCGGCGCGGATAATGCGCAATGCAGGCGAAGAGCGCATCTCCCCCGCCCTAAGAACCACCCCCCTCTCACTCCCTTCAAGGCGAGATCGCCAGGCAAGTGACACTCCCAGGTAAGGTTAGATAGGGAAGGTCGTCCGGAAAGACTCGGGCGCCAACACGCGGGACTGGAGCAGTGCTCCCTGCTAGCCAGGCCGGAGTCTTCTGCGCCTTAGGAGGTGAGGTCTTCCAGCCCGGCTACCGTCAAGGTTCTCACACATCCCGGCGCAGAGAAGGAATGAAAAGACTCTGCCAAATTGGGCAACCTTTGCCTGCGCACGTCCCCTCGCCCCAAGGCGATCAGACTTAATTCCTAAAAGATGTGTCTTCATCAGTCCCGGGGGTCACAAGGGTAGCGGGGACACAGGAGTGGGGCACTGTCGCCCCCTAGCGGAAGCGCCCGTGCCTGCAAACAGGGGCAGCCCCTCGAGGTCGTGCGGGGAGCGGTGCGCCCCAGCAGCTTGGCTGCCTTGGCTCCTCTCTCCTCGCTCCCCAGCGCTCGCCTCGCGCCGCCTGAGTCTTCTTCCTCTTCCCGCTCGTCGCCTCCCTCCCTCCTACTCTCCGAAACTCTAGCTCAACCTGTCCGACAGGATGGAGTACTCGCGAGCGCTCAAGGCCCCATCTGGCCTCACCCCCACCCCGTAGTCCCCAGCCCCCACTTCTCTTGAAAACCAAGCTGCAGTTGTTTGGATTTTTTTTTTTTTTCTTTCCCGAGGAGGTAGCGGGGCAGGTGACAAGCCTGTCTTGGAGAAGACTCCGTAAGGTGTCGTCGGCATGGAGGCCTCCGTGGGCACTTTGAACAGACTTCGTGGGAAAAAGCCACGTCTGAGAGTCGGAGACAGGGCGCTCTTCGGGGAAAACGGGAAGGGGGGGCGTGCGCTTCGTAGAAACCCACTGTTGAGCTCTGCGGGTGGATCTGCCACGCTCTTGCCAGGCCTTGTTCCCGAGGGGCAAGACCCGATTCAACAAGGGACTCAGGAGATGGCCAAGGGGTGTCCGGGGAACTGTCCCCCCGTCCCGATCGGAGGCGAGGGCTCCGCGTGAACGTCCCCAGCCTCGGCCTGCGGCCCCGGGACGCTGCTCAGACCGGCGGGGCTGCGTTCCCTAGCCCCCGCTCACCTCGCAATCCTCTTCATACTTGACATTATCTGTTATTTTCCACAACATGGCGTCCGGCGTCCCCCAAAACAGTCGCCAGTTAAATCCAGGCTCCCCCCACCCCCCGAGCGGTAAATCCACAATCGGGGTCACGGTGGCCAGGCGTCTGCCGCCACCCCCGCCACGCGCGGGCCTCGCAGTCCTGGTCACTGGACGCGCATCGGTGGCTGTGTGCGTAGATGTGGCCGCCGTGGGTGTGTAGAGGCCGCAGCCGTGGACCGGAGAAGCCTCACCCTCACAGCGCGTCCCGGCGATAGCCGGGGGACCCGAACGCCTTAATGAGAAGGAAATTATCATAACTCCTCCCCGGGGGCCGGCACGGAGGCCCAGGCGCCGGGCGGGGCAGCCCCCAGCCAGTCCCTGCCTAGCTCCGCCCCGCACCCTGCCTGGCGTCTTGCAGGGACCGGCGTCGCGAGGGGCTTGCAGGGGCATCAGTGGGCAGTCTCTTGACAACCGCAGACCTGTCAGGCTTGGGTACCCGAACGCGGCTTTCTATGCCAGCCCCCTTGCACACCTGAGATTGGCAGAGTCGACAACCGAGATTTTCACCACCTCAAGAACCTTTCTCCATCCTCCAAAAAGATGGAAGTCACTTGGAGACTCATTTCCGAGGTGGCTCAACTCCTGGGGGTTCTCTGATATCCCGTCCCAGCCACTCCAACAGAGACTCCAGGCTGGGAAGCAGCTGAAGCCCCACAATGCCCTAGTGTCTCCCGCTTCCCCTCTCCCTGGGTACTTTATTGTCCTGCCCCCCCCCCCCCGATAGGCGAGGAGGGCTTGTGAAGAGTCTGCCCCCCACTCCCAGGCTCTGCCCCCACCCCCAGTTCTGAAGAAGCAATTCACCGTAATATTTGCTCAGAATAAATCGGACAACGGCGGCGTGTCACCGCTGTCGCCCGAAGGTGTATCTCTGGCTGCTGGCCGCGGCTGGAGGAGACCCGAGCTCCCCCGCCCAGGCCCATCCCTGCTGCGATGCCCAGCCCTGCGGAGTGCCGGTTCCTCAGCTGGCACGGGCGAGCCATTCAGAAGCCTCAACTCACCCGGGAAAAGATGTTCCAGGCAGAATAAACCTCCAGCGCCACGGGCCGGGTGGGGTGAGGAGGGGCCGGGAAGTGGGAGGGGGCTACAGAGGTCACCCTTGGAGAGACGTGCACACCTCATCCCACGGAAGGCAGAAAGCAAAGCCTCCTTCCACAGAATGCTGCCGAGCCCTAAAGCAACATTCAATGTTAATGTTTTTAAATTCAAAGAAACGAAATAAATTGGCCCAATTATTATAAGTGATTTTTTTCATTCCAAACACAAGGTCGATAATTCTCGAGAGCTAATTTTGTTGGTCTATCCTAACAGTATGTGGAGATAGGCTTCAAACGTTGGGGGGAATTGGAGGCAGGGACTACTTCGGTTTGATTCCGAAGCCAATTTTGCAGTCCTTGATACCCATCAGCCCGGTGGCCAGGACCTGTTGTGGACGTGTGTCCCCTATCCACAGAATAAAGTTGTTTACCATCTTCCTGCTGCTCCTCTGGGTTGTATAAGCTTTTATTTAGACCCAGATAGGCCTAAAATAAAGTAACTAAAATGTCTTTCAAGCCAACCGTTCCCCGTCGCTACAGCAAGGTGATTTTTCGACCAGTTGCGCTAACAACCCCAGGAAGTAGGAACCAAGGGGGTTTTCCGGCAAAGCTTAAAAGGCTCTCAGTCCTGACACCAAGCTTCTAAAACACAGGGGCCTTGGCATTACCGTGAGGAGAGGGCACCTGCTCCAGGAAGCACTGAATTCGGTGTCTCCGCCGGCATGCTAGTGCCCAAGACTGGGAAGGTCAGGTCCCAGGCTCTCGCTAGAAGGCGACTGAGGCGCCCTAGATGCCGTGTCTAGTGGGATGAGGCTCCTCTCCTGGCCTGGGGTGCGGCTCACCGCACCCCAAGCCCTCGCTGTTCTTCCCGTAGCTGCGCTAGCCCAAGCAGCCCAGGTCTTTTCTGCTCCCGAGCTTTTGGCGCTGGCGAGGAGACAGAAGGGCGGCGCGAGGGTCTGCACTCGCCTCGCAGGAATCTGGGGACATGGGAACCGCTAGACAAGGCTTTTCGTTCTCTCTAGAGCGACAGCGCAGCGCTTAATGGAGAGGGAGGTTTGCACACATGATCTCCGCGACTCTGGGGGACCCTGCCCCACCCACACCGGGCTTGAGGGGTCGGAACCCAGACACACAGTTCAGGTGCGGGAAGCTTCCGCCTTCCCTGAGCTCAGCTTTTCATCCCTTGGCTCCCGCCTTCTAAACAAATCTCCTACCCTCCCTCGCCCACGGAACGACGCAGACGCGTGCGGCTGCGCCCCTTGGCAGCCAAGACCGGGGAAGGTGCCCACTCGGCATCCCGCCCTACCCGCCCCGCTGAGAACTTGCTATGAGGTCCCCGCGCAGCCAAAGCAGAGGTGTAGGAGTGGAAGGCGGTCAGGGGCTCTGCTCTGCCGCCCCCTAGGGAGCCTGAAGTCACTCACACTCCGGCAACCCAGGACCCACCTCAGAGCCAGCAGATGGCCCAGGAAACCAGACAGGCGGCGACCAGGTGTGTGCAAGTCCACCTCCACCGGCGTCACGAATGTGAACTACCTCCAAAGAAGCACGCAAGCCGAGAGTGACTCTGTCAACGCGGTTTAGGGGCTCCATTCCCCTGTCCCCGCCCCTACCCCTACCCCAGGCCAGAGAAGGCAGCTTGGAGTTATCTATAAACTGGACTGCCTCCCCAAAAGACTCCCCTTTTCGCCTTAGGGAAGGAGCTCCCGAGAGCAGGTGGACCCCAAGGACTTTCACAAGCGCGGCGCCACGTGCCGGAGCTCTGTTCCGCCCCTCGGGACAGTGCAGGACCTCTGTCAACTACCTGCTTGCCTGGGTTGAGCAGGGCCCTAGAAATCAGTTTCTGCCGCAAATCTCTGGAGGAGGGTGCCCAGCCACGCCCCACTCTCTTGTCCTAGTTTGTGCACGCGCTGGATTCAGGGTTTAAAAGAGCTCCCAAATAGGCCGGCGAGATGGCTCTATGGGTAAAGGCGCTTGCCGCCAACTTTAAATACACAAGTTGGATCCCCGGGATCCACACGGTGGGAGGAGAGAACTGACTCCTGCAAGCTGTCCACTTACATACACACAGCACACCATGGAACGTGCGCGTACACACGCACTAAATACACACGTAAATGAATACATACCTCTAAAAAATACAAAAAGCTTCCAGAACTAACGCCAGGGGTGCTGCTGACACCAATCCTTGGGAGCTCCAAAATAATAGCAACTGATTTTTAAATTCTAAGCAGAATAAACAGCACACTGAGAGGCCTCAGCCCCACTCAGGTCCGTGAACTGCTCAAGTCTAGCTCAAGACCGCAGGGGCCTGAAGCAGTTTCTCGGCCTTCGGGTCTTCCTACCAAGCAACTCTTCATCAACAGGCAAAATGAAGCGGAATTAAGGATCCTTGCATCTACCAGGCTTCCAGGGATCCCGTTCTGTCCCAGGTCTGGGGCTCGCACTCCTTGGCTCTGCTCCCTTCCGGAGCAGCTAAGGTAAATTTGGTTTTAACTTCCTCAATCAGCAAAGTTACCTGGTATCTAAGGCCTCTCCTCCTAGAGACTTCAGAACCCCGAAGGAGACAAGCATGAGACTGCCCTGCCCTGCCCCGGAGTACCCTCCAACGCCTAGAAGGTAGACCCGGGCTTGTCACCTTCCCAAGGCATTCTGGGGCCGGTCCCCCGAGCTACCTAACCGCTCCGAGCGCGGGCGGGAGACCCATATACCTAGAGGCCTTCTAGGGTTCTATGCTTCCACACACCTCTAGGCCAGCTGAGCCCCGCGGC